TTTAAAATCTGATGATTGTAATGATATTGAAAAATCTATGCTCATGTCTATATTAAAAAGAAATGATTTGGAAGTAAGTGAAATTGACATTTGGAATCTTGTTATTCAATGGGGGGTATAGGACAAAACAATGAATTAAACAAGATATTTCAGGGTGGAACAAAAATGATTTTATCATATTAAAAAATATAATAATAGATATTATTCCATTGATAAGATTCAATCCTATTACTTCAACTGATTTTCATGGTAAAATTACATTATTTAAAAAATCTTTTGATAAAGAAATATATAAAGAACTTCTTCAATATTATCTCAGTGATAATTGGAAACCAAAATTATTACTTCAGAAAGGTCCAAGAACAAAAGCAGCAAGAGGAAACTTATTAAATTTAAAAAAAATATGTTTAATTTCTAGCTGGATTGATAAAAAAAAAGACTTATATAATGCAAATACTTTGCCTTATGAATTTAAGTTAATTCTCAATGGAACTCAAGATGGATTTTCTAGATCTGTCTTTGAGAAAAAATGTTATAATGTAGAACAGACTATAGCAATTATGAAAATTAAAAAAACAGGAGGATTATTTGGTGATTATAATCCTGTTGGTTGGAATATTAAAGGAAAATCTTTAGACAAAGGATGTTTTATTAAAACAAATAAAAGTTTTATTTTTAAGATTGATGAAAATCAAATAATGAATTCAATAATAAGTAGAGTCAAAAATTCAAACCAAGCAATAGGATGTGCTGAACAAAATATTAGTATAACTATAAAGAAGATAAAATTTCATGAATATACTTTGTGTTTTTACAATTTTGTATTATTATTTAATAGCATCAATAAGGATCCTTATTTTTATTATTATTTTGATGGGAGTTTTGATGATTCTTACGAAAATAATTTTAATTTTATAAAAAAAGAGGATTTATTCGCATTAGAAGAACTTGAAGTCTATGAGTTAGTAAAGAATGAATAATTTTTTTAAATTATATTTTTATTTATGTCTTATAAAAAATTTCAAAATTCAATTCTACATGTGTATTCTTTTCCAAAACAATCTTTATCAGCTTATGATAAATTTCCAAATCAATCAGCCAACAAAATTTACGTGTTTAATACTGAACAAATTTGACCAAATATTAATTTCTGAACGGCTGATTCTATTCATTCTGAACCATAGGTTCGCTTAAGCAATATCCATGCACAAACTTCTTCCTAAAAACGTGAAAACTTTTGTTAAATGCTATAATAACACACGAGGATAACTGTATGATTCATCCAGGATCATCAGACTCTCACCAACCTATATTTCCTCCTTGACTTTCTTGTACTAGAAAATCATCATTCTCGTCATCACTGTCATTACCATATTCATTATGACTATTGTTATTGTCATTAACATCATCGCCATCAATATCTTTAAATGTTTGCTTAATATTTATAGTAAAGCTACCACGACTACTAGTAGAAGATAAAGAATTTATAAAATCGGTAAAATTTGTCTCCAATTTATCTAAATCTCTTTCTCTATTTTTTGCCATATCTTCTAACAATGTTAATGTTTGTAATAAATCATCAATACTACAAAAATGATTTTGATTTTTTACTTTTGATTTTGTTTTTTCATCAATTGAAAAAAGCATCTTTAAATATTCAATAAAATCTTCTAAATACATTGACATTT